GAATGCAGGGCTGGTTCAATATTAGGAAAACTATCAGCATAATTGATCATATCAACAACAAAACTAACAGAAACCACGATTATCTCAATAGATGAAGAAAAAACTTTTGACAAAATACAACACTCATTCTTATTAAAAACACTAGAAAGCATACGAATAAATGAAGTCTTCCTTAAAATGATAAACAGCATCTATCCAAAAGCTTCAGCAAATATTATATGTAATGGAGATAAGCTAGAAGCATTTCCAATAAGATCAGGAGTGAAACAAGGATGTCCATTATCACCATTGTTGTTAAATAAGGTACTAGAAACGTTGGCTTTCACAATAAGAGAAGAAAAAGAAATTGAAGGTACTAGAATAGGCAAAGAAGAAACAAAACTATCACTTTTTGCAGATGATATGATGATATACTTAGAGAATCAAGTAAAAAACTACTTGAAATAATAAACAACTTTAGCAAAGTTGCAGGATTTAAAACAAACCTACATAAATCATCAGCATTTATTATATATATATATATATATATATATATATATATATATACATATTACTAACAAAATTACTAATATGGAAGTGTTATATATGATTGCACATGTATAACCTATATGTGATTCCTTATAATCTCAGAGAGAGGGAGGAGAGGAAGGCAGTGAGGGATAGAAGTTGGAACTCAAAACTTCAAAAAACTGTTTTAGTATTGTTTTAACGCATAATTGGGAAAAAAAATTGTTTTTTAGGCATTTGGAGTTAAGTAACTTGCCCAGGGTCACACAGCTAGTAAGTGTCAAGTGTTTCTTCTGAGGCTGGATTTGAACTCAGGTCCTCCTGACTTCAGGGCCAGTGTTCTATCCAGTGTGCCACCTAGCTGCCCCCCAAAAAATTTTTTTTTAAATTTTAATTACTCTACCCCTCCATATAAATTAGACTATTTGTTGTTCCTAGATGACACCTCAACTTCACTTCTGTATCTTTTAATAGGTTGTCCCCCATGCTTAAATGCTCTCCCTCCTCACCTCAACTAGAACTCCTAACTCCCTTCAAAGCTCAGCTCCAGTGTTACCTATAAGGTCCCTTCCTCAAGTCCCTCACCCATAACTCTGTATTCATTTTTGTACATATCCTGTATTTAGTTGTTTATAAATTTAGTTGTTTAGTTGCTATATCTCTTGCCTTAGTAGAATTTAAGCTCTTTGAAGACAGAGACTATCTCATTTTTTGTACAGGTATCTCCAGTACTAAGCACAGTGCCTGACACATCACAGGCATTTAACAAATGCTAGTAATTCCATACTCAGGCTAAACATGGAATACAAATTTTCAATTTTCAAAGAATTAGATTTAAGAGATTTGACTCTAAATTAATTTAATTTAGTTTGGATGCTCTTTTGGGACAAGGACTATTAACTTAAAAAAAAAAAGACAAAAAGTCCTTGTATCCCAAGCGCTCTAAGAAAGTGTCTTGCAAATGGTATGTTCTTAATAAAGGCCTGTTCAGTTCAATGGTTGAATCTCTTTTAGATGACTCAGAAAGCAGAATGAGACCTTCAAGGCTGCGGGATCATCACTATGAATACCCATCCCCCATTTGAAGAGACATACTGAAGAGTGGATTAATAAGAATGATAAGAATAACCCAGCTTTTATCATACAATTTTAGTGTGAAAATAAATATGCCATATTTTAATAAATGGCCTCTTTTCTTTTAATAATGGCCTCAAATCATGTCATAAGTCATTTGAACAAAATACTCCTAGGATGCCATTTTTATAGTCTTGTGGTATCCACTATTGTGGATACCTCTTCTTCTCTAATTCTCAGGATGATATGGAGGTGATACATATCAGCTCAGCTTGCGTCCACTCTCTCTTTACTGTCATATAACTCAAAGAGTTTTAAATCCTCTCCTTCCTCACCATCTATTTCCCCTCATTAGAGATGCAAGGCTAGAAGGAAAAGCAGAATGAGTTGGAGTGGGATGCAAAGGTAGGAAATTAGTCATCTTTAAACATTCCAATGCTTTCATTTTGAACTCACATCTGTATTATAGGTATCTACAGGCTTATTCTACTTTCGAAAGTATTACTAAGGCAGGATTTGAGAGATAAAGGAGAATAAAAAGACAATTGGTTCTGAAACCACAAGAGACAGCCTCAGCACAGCTAGGTGCAAGCCGTAGCTGTTTATTAGCTGTCATTTAGGCAAGACATTAAATCTCTCTGTGTCCAGGTTTCTTCTGGTATCAAATAAGAATAATAATAATGGAACTACCTAACCACACAAGGGTATTGTAAGGAAATTACCTTGCAAACCATTAAATGCTATAGAAACACAAGCTATAGCATTTAAATCTGTAGTATTTACAAGTTTACAGACCAGTCTTCACAATATGCCTAAGAGATAGGTAGTCTAAGAATTCCTATTTTATAGATAAACTTACTAAAGGTCAGAGAGGTTACCTAATTGCTCAGCTCACACAGCTAGTGAATCTCTGTGCACCAAAGTCAGTTACAACAGATCTCCTATACCAGATTCTTTCTACTAGAACACGTTGCCTTTTAAATTTTAACACCATAACCCCTGCAAACGTAGCTCAAATCTCATAAGCATGTAATTTCCCCAGCTCCTTCCTGTGTTAGTATTTAATCTCACCCACTTTCCTCAAATAAGAGATTCATTTCAGAAACAAACAAGCCAATCTTTATTTAAAGTAATACAATGACAAGTATTTTCATTAAATGATAAGAAATAAAGATATTAAAATAAAGCATTTCTTTAGAGTTCATAAGATTATTTTAAACTATAATTTTGGCCCTGCTATTTACTATCTGAATCAATCAAAGCAAACTTTTTACCCCACCTGAAAATGAGTTTCCTCACCTATCAAACAAGGAGACTAGACTATATGATCTCTAATCATGGAATTTCAGACTCGGGACTCAGTAGTCATCTAGTCCAACCTGAAAAAAAAAATTCTCTCTACAACATTTCTAAAAAGTAGTCTTTGCAACTTATATGGACTAATGCTGAGTGAAGTGAGAAGAACCAGGAGAATGTTGTACACGGTAACAGCCATGTTGTGCAATGTCTAACTTTGATAGAGTTAGCTATTTTCAGCAATGCAAGGATCTAAGACATCTTCAAAAGACTCACAATGGAAAATGCTATCCACATCCAGAGAAAGAACTATGGAGTTTGAATGCAGATCGAAGCACACTGTTTGCTCATTTTTTTTTCTTCTGTTTTGTTTTGTTTCTTCTTTCTTGCAGTTCCTCCTATTGGTTCTAATTCTTCTTTACAACATGACTAACGTGAAAATATGTTTCATAGTAATGTATATGTAGAGCCTATATAAGATTGCACACCATCTTGAGGAGAGAAGTGGAAAGGGAGGGGAGAAAATTTAAACTCAAAAGCTTACGGAAGTGATTATTGAAAACTAAAAATAAATTAATTTTTAAAAATTTTTAAAGTAGTCTTTGCTTGAAAACCTTGAATGAAAGAGAATCTGTAAGACTTCAGGCAACACATTCAATTTTTGTATACTTCTAGCTGTATTTCCTTATATCAAGCCTACATTCTCTGTGAAACTTTACCCATTACTCCTAGTTCTACCCAAGAATAACAAGTTTAATCCATTTTTCAATATGACAGCCTTTTAAATACTTGAAGACAATTATCATTTCCCCCCTCCTACCAAAGTTGTTCCTTCTTCAGCCAAACTATCCCCATTAGTTCCTTCAGCCAATGCTCATATGGCAAGAATTCAAGTCCCTTCACCATACTGTTATCCTCCCATACACTCTCCCACTTATCAAAGTCCTTCCAAAAATGTGGCTCCTAAAACTGATCACAGAATTACTTGGCTTGACCAAGATAAAGTACAGTAGGACTGTCTCATTATTGTTCTGGTAAACTATGCCTTTCTTAATGTAGGTGAAGACTTCATTAGATTTCTTGGCTACCATATCACACTGTTGACCTATATTGAGCTTACTGTCCATTAAACCCTCAGATAATCTTCAGATGAACTGTTACCTATCTTTTTACCCAACTTATGAAATTGATTTTTTTAACCCAAAGTCTAAGTCATGTATCCCTGTTAAATGCTATTTCTGATTCAACCTTGTATTCTAGCCTGTCAAAGCTTTTTTGAATACTTCTTTGAATACACTGTTATGATACTTCCCAGCTATGTCATCTGAAAAACTGGTAAAAATGCCACCTTTGTGTTTTAGCTAAGTCACTGATAAAAATGTTAAACAGCATAAGGCCAAGCACTAATCCCTTGGGCATTCTATTGGAAACCACCTTCCCAGGTGACATTAAACCATTAATGAACTGGTCTTTGTGTCCTACCATCTAATCCATTCTCCATCTGCCTAATAATACTATCATCTAGCCTACATTTCCCCCTCTTTTCCACAAAAATGCCATGAAAAAGTTTACCAAATGCTTTGCTAACACCTAGGTAAACTCTATCTACAGCATTTCCTTGATCCACCAGTTTAACAAAACTTTTTTTTTAATGAAGTTAGTTTAGCACAATCTGTTCTTGATGAAGTCATACTGGCTCTTTATGATCACTGCTTCTTTTTCTAAATATTCCCTGCCAAAACTAGGATTCTATAATTCTATGTGTACTTCACTTTTCAATAGCCATGTTCCTGAAGGAGCTGTGTAAATATAAGCCTATTTTGAATACGTTTGATATAATAAGTGATTGATAGAAACCTGAATCTCGAATGAATCCTGCTGAAAAGTAAAGAATAGGCGCCTTAATTTTTGTGTTTTGCAAAAGAGACCTGTTTCATTAATTCATATTTTTATTTCTCAGTTTTCTTAACATGGGGTTCTGCTGAGTTTGGAAAGTAAAGAACTGTGCATTTGGAGGCTAGATATAAAAAAGCAAACTTAATATGAATTCTTAAATAACTGACCAAAATTACTTATCCAAGTTGTTGTTGTTTTTTGTTAAGATTATTCATAATAATGCTTACCTTTTTGTCCTCTTTCGTCTTTCTAACATTTCGATGAGGGCCAAAGATGGTTTGCATCCCAAAAGCTTTTTTAGACCACTCACTCTTATGAACACTTAGTTGAGGCTGAACAAAGCTTCCCTCGACCCTGTATCGGTCAGCTGGAATTTTATTCATTGGAGGAGGAAGTGTGCCACAATTCACACTTGACCATCCATCTGTAGAATCCGTGTATGACTCCTGATCACTGGCATGGCCATGTTGCCATTCCTGGAGGACATGGACAGGCAGCCACCTTTGGTTGGAACCACCACCTATACCCATAGTACTTCTTTTGGAAGGAGGGACTGAACTCCGTGAAGAAACAAGAGGAACCTCCATTCGGGAAGAAGGTACTAAATGCTTATTTAAATCACAAAATTTATCATTCTGAGTTGCTTCTAAAGAATTTCCTTCTGAATCATGACAGAAACCATTCCAGTGTGCACTAGGTGGGTTTGGTGCTCTTCCTCCTGGATTTTCCCACACATTACTAGGAATGTGCTTACTTGAACTGCCTCCTAAATCAACCACCAGAACTCTGTTGCTTTTTTCTTCCTGGTTGAAATTGCCAATGCCACTATCACTATTGCTACTTGTACTATTATTCTGATGAGCATCAGCATCACCATCCAGGAAGGCCCGTGCTCTCATTCCTTCAATCAATTCCCCCATGTCTCTATATAGGACAGAAATAAACTGCAAAACAGGTAAAGATGATGTTGGGAATTCTAAACAACCATTAGTGTCTGGATCAGCTGTACAGTCAAACCCAAATCGTCTTGCAATACCCTGATGAATTTTATGGCTAAACAATTCTGGATCTACCATGAAAACATGACAAGATGTCCTCAAAACTCCTTCATCTTCCTGAGCTAAACTTCCATCATCATTAGACTGCATGGTAACCAGTCCAAAGAATCTTCTGTCATCAGGGCACACTGCACTAAATGCCAGTTTCTCTGCAGGATATTCAGCCACTATGCCAGCTTTGTCAGTGCAGAGTTGAACACAATCGTGCATAATCTTCATCATTACCAACGAATGTATTTTCTGTTCAGCCCGCAAGCGTCTCATACACCCACGAATAGCCTGCAGACTATCATATTCAAGGTTGGAGCTGGTTGAAGGAAGTTCTATTGAACCTAGATAACCTACCACCATGGCAACATTTAAAATGCTTGCATCTAATCCAAAGTCATCATGATTTTCTAGTCCAATACTGAAAACTGAATCATCATGAACAACTTTAGATATTTCTTCCTTAGAATGAAGATTATAATTTGGACTATTTATACTTTCCTGTGCAATGTCAAACCGAGCAGCAGCAGCAGCTGACTCTGAAAGGGACCTTTGTTTTGGTTTCGAGTGATCTGAACTAGCAGCACAAAGAGTAGGATTTTCAAAGATCATGTTAAAAATTCCACCAGATTGCATTTCTTCAACAACTCTCTCTGCTCTGTTGATACCTAATGCTTTGGAATCAAGTTTGGGCTTTAGCCAGCCTTTTCCTTCATAAAATCCAACTTCTTCATCACTAGAACAAGAGTCCATGTGACTGATACCTTCGCCAATTACCATACGTAGCACCCCAGAACACTTCCCTATCAGCTTCACTACATCTTCATGAGAAGCCTTTTTTACATTGATGTCATTGACAGCAAAGATCTGGTCTCCAGCTTTTAGTCCTACGTAATCTGCAGGGCTCCCTTTCATAACACAGCTAAGAACACAAGGTGCTTGTCCAGAAAGGGTAAATCCATATCCTGCTCGTCCTCTAGCAACATCCACACTTCTTATCCTTGGTGGTACATGCACATTGAGTCGACGTTTCACTGTCTCTGTTGGTTTATACATTTTGCTGTGTTTCTGAGAATGAGAATCCTCTAATTATTTCAATTTGTATCCATATTTCGTAGAATGCTTGATGCAACCTTTCTTACACACGACAATGCCCTATGGAAAAGAATAAATATACCATAATTTAATATTTCCTTTTCCCATAATTTCAATAATTCAAGTAATTCAAAAGATACACATTCAACAGACAGGGTACCCTATTAGTGCAGATTATAATCCCTTCACATCTTAGTAGACATTTTTTGTGAATAGCCCAAGCAAAAAAAAAAAAGTACTCCTTAGTGCCAACCCTCTGATGACCAGCTAGGATGATCCTCATATACCAGGCTGAGGGACAGCTGCCAGGCACTTAATTAACATTTTTCCAACTCTGTAATACCTGCCAGAACTAGGGCTCCACTGGCATAAAACCTCTGAGAACCCTGGGTCATCTCCATACCACAATGAAGCACCAGAGCACAACTTCAATGAAAGCTCATTGTTCAATCATCTTAAATTTCAGGAACATATTAACCAAATTAGATCACACGTAATAGAAAACCATCACAGAATAAATATTCAGGCAAAACAAAAAAAGATACAACAACAAATGTAGCACTTTACATGGCTATCAAATATTCTTTCACAATTCCTATTTCTACCATGCTTAATGATGAACACTGACTACATCATTCTGTCTTTTCAGACAGCTGAAATTTTGGGGAATCTTGATTTTGATAAAGGACAGAATAGAAATTTTAAAAGCTCTTAACAGGCTAAAAAACAAAAACAAAATAAACTTTAACTTTCCCATCTTTATAACAGCTTTATAAGACTGATAGATACATACATCAAGTATTCTTACTAAAGATATGAGAAGGGTAGGCTTTCACAAACAATATTTTATAGTATATCACATTTTCCCATTCACACAGTTGACTAAAACATAAAGAAAATACAAGACCCCACTGTGTTTATTTGTTGACTATTTGTTTGACTTATTTGTTGATTTAAAAAAAGACAAAAGTGCTACTCTAATAAGGGGCCTCCCTTGCAAATGCCAAAACCTCACATGATTTCTCAAAGGATATTGCAACAGGCATGACTTTGTTTGACAATCTTCTGGCAATTATCATGCCCAGCATAAATATGGAGACATGGGCGAGCCAAAACTGTTTGTTCTTGTCTTAGAGAATGTCCAGTAGAGTCCAAATGAAAGAGGGCTTCTCTATAGCTGGTGAAGATCTCTTCATTGTCATATTTTCATTAAGCCAACTCCTAATGAGATTGTAAAGCATTCAAAAGTGTTCAGCCTAAATATGTATACAGGAAAAACCAAGTAGATTAAGAACAGGTGAGACCTAAACTATGCTTTTCAGTTAGATGACCAGCACAAAGAGCTTATGACCACAAACTTAGGCCTAAAAAAAAATGGCATTCTTCCAATGATGCTATTTGGATATAAAGCACGTAATGGCTCAAAAATCTACAAAGAATTAAGACTGAAGGAGGAGCCAAGATGGCAGAGACTTGCCTGAGCTCTCCCAAATTCCCTTCCAAACATTAAATAATGCCTCAAAATGAATTCTGGAGCAACAGAACCTACAAAAGGATGGGGTGAAACAATTTTTCAGTTCAAGGCAACTTAGAAGGTCAGCAGGAGAGATCTGCTGCAGCACAGTCCAATACAGGCAATCCCCTGGCAAGCTGGGAGCAGGCCTTGAGGACAACTGAGTCAGCAGCAGCAGCAGCAGCTTCCAGAGCTCTCAGCCCACAGATGGTAAGAGGGTCAGACAACTGGTCTGAAAGAGATTAAAGAGGTCCCTTTGCTAGCAGAGGGTGCAGGACTCTGTTGCACTGATCTTCTACAGATCCAGGTTGCAATCCTCAGTTGAAGTCCCAGGGCAAGTAGGAGCACTAGTACACCAGAGCTTGAGGCTGCAGGAGAGCAGGGACTCTGATCACAGTTCCAGGGCAGAAAAGAGTACTTACAGTCATTCAAAGACCATAGCACAGGCCAGTAGAGTAGTAAACACACCTCTCCTTAGATCATACCACCTTGGAAGAACTGAAAATTTACAGACCCTCTGAACTCAGAGCTCTAAAATCAGCTGCACAAAAAACCTGAACCTCAGGACAGTGCCCCCTCCACCCTGGGAGCAGAGCCCAACTTTAACATAAAGTTAAAAGTCAAGAAATAGACTTGAAAATGAGCAAACAACAACAACTAATAATAATAATAATAACCTGACCATAGAAAGTTACTATGGGGACAGGGAAGACAAAAACACAAATTCCGAAGACAATAAAGTCAAAATTGCTACGTCCAAAGCTTCAAAGAAAAATGTGAACTGGTCTCTGACACAAAAAGAATTCCCAGAAAAAGCTCAAAACAGATTTTAAAAATCAAATAAGAGAGATGGAAGAAAAATTGGGGAAAGAAATTACAGTAACACAAGAAAATCATGGGAAAAAAAGTCAACAGCTTGGTAAAGGAAGCACAAAAAAAAACTGTAGAAAATAACATCTTAAAAAATAGAATAGGCCAAATGGTAAAGAAGGCACAAAAATTCACTAAAAAGAACTCTTCAAAAAGCAGAATTGGCCAAATGGAAAAAATGTACAAAAATTAAGTGAAGAAAAGAACTCCTTAAAAAGCACAACTGGCCAAATGGAAAGGGAAGTACAAATGCTCACTAAAGAAAATAATTCCTTAAAAATTAGAATTGAGCAGGTGGAATCTGATGACTCCATGACACATCAAGAAACAAGAAAACCAAATCAAAAGAATAAAAAGGAAGAAAATGTGAAACATCTTACTGGAAAAACAAATGACCTAGAAAATAGATCAAGGAGCAATTGTTTAAGAATTATTAGACTACCTGAAAGCCATAATCAAAAAAAAGAGCCTAGACTATCTTTTAAGAAATTATCAAGGAAAACTGCCTAGAATCACAAGGCAAAATGGATATTGAAAGAATCCACCAATCACTTCCTAAAAGAGCTCCCAAAATGAAAACTTCCAGGAATATTTTATAACCAAATTCCAGAGCTCCCAGGTCAAGGAGAAAAATTTGTAAGTAGCCAGAAAGAAACATTTCAAATATCATGGAGCCACAGTCAGGATAATACAAGTTGTAGCAATTTCTACATTAAAGGACCAGAGGGCTTGGAATAGCAAATTCCAGAGGGCAAAGGAGCTAGGATTACAACCAAGAATCACCTACCCTGGGGGCTGCTAGATGGCACAGTGGATAGAGCAGTGGCCCTGGAGTCAGGGGGACCTGGGTTCAAATACAGCCTCAGACACTTATTAACTGTATGACCCTGGGTAAATCACTTAACCCCCATTGCCTCCAACCCCCCCCCCAAAAAAAGAATCACCTACCTAGCAAAACTGAGCATAATCCTTTAAAGGAAAAAATGGCTATTCAATGAAATAGAGGATTTTTAAGCATTCCTGATGAAAAGACCAGAGCTGAATAGAAAATCTGACTTCCAAATACGAGACTCAAGAGAAGCATAAAAAGGTAAATAGGAAAGAGGAATCATAAGGAATTCAATAAAGTTAGCTGTTTACATTCCTATATAGCAAGATGACAATTATATCTCCTAAGAACTTTATCATTACTAGGGCTATTATGAGGAACATACATAGACAGAGGGCATGAGTATGAATTGAATATAATGGGATGATATACAAAAAAATAAAATTAAGGAGAGACAGAGGAATGCATTGGGAGAAGGGGAAAGGGAAAGGTAGAATAGGGGAAGTTATCTGACAAAAAAGTACAAAAGAGCTTTTACAGAGGATGGGAAGGTGGAAGAGTATGGGGGGGGAGCACTTGAACCTTACTCTCATTGAAATTAGCTCAAAGAGGGAATAACATACACGCTTAGTTGGGTACAGAAATCTATCTTATCCTAGAAGAAAATAGAAGGCTGAAGGGCACAAGAGGGGAGAGCTAATAGAAGGGACAGCAGATTGGGGGAGGCAGTAGTAAGAAGCAAAACACTTTCGCGGATGGACAGGGTGACAGGAGAGAGAGAGATACAGAGGTGAGGAACCTGCAGCCTCGAGGCCACATGTGGCCCTCTAGGTCCTCTGGTGTGGCCCTCTCACTGAATCCAAACTTCAGGGAACAAATCCCCTTAATAAAAGGATTTGTTCTATAAAACTTGGACTCAGTCAAAAGGCCACCTCGAGGCCACAGGTTCCCCACCCCTGGAAGATAAGGCTTTCCTCTCAGACCATCATATCATTTTGTTTTGTGATTCTGTTATGGACTTATGTAATTTTGCATATTAGTTATTGGTCTCTGTGCCTTATTAAGTCTACTAGACCATGAAATGAATGCTTTCTCTCTCAATGCCTAGCACAATGCTCTGTATGCTATAAGCACTTAATATTTGTTGTTTTTATATTCTGTTTGGCACTCTGCTCAGATAGAAGCTAGAGAATGCCAGAGTTAAGCTCTATGTAAGAAAAAAATCTTCCCAACTTATCCAAAGGTGAAATGGACTGCCTTGAGAAGTAGTGGCCCTCCCTGCCCTCACCTCCACTTCTCATCCCTTGCCCTCATCCCTCAACCCCCACCATCACCTGCCTTATCCTCATCCCATCCAGTCTTCAAGGTGAGATTACAGGACCACTTTGGGATTTGGGTCAGGTATGGGTTGAACTGGTCAGCCTGAGTTCCCTTTCAACTCTAAGTGTCTTTGATATGACGCAGGTTCCACATTTGTGAAAGGATGGGATTATGTTAGATGACCTCTAAGATCTTCCAAGTCCTAATATCCTCTGCTTCAACATGAAGTGGCAAACAAATCACATCATTAAAAACATCACAATTCTTTACAATGCATCACATATTATTTGCTATTCTGTCATTTTTCAGTTGTGTCTAACTCTTCCTGGCAAAGATACTAGAGTGGTTTGCCCCTTCTCCAGCCTATTTTACAGATAAGGAAACTGAGGCAAACAGGATTAAGTGACTTGCTCAGGGTCACACAGCTAGTCTCTCTGGTCTGAGGCCAGATCTGAACTCAGGAAAATCAGTCTTCCTAGTAGCCATTTGTAAATGCATGAGGAAGAGGAAGAAGGCATTCCAACTAAC